GCTTGTGATTGCTACATCATGTTTCTGATAAATTTAATTGAAGCAAATGTTTCAGCTGGGAGTAAATATAGATACCTTACTCATTTATGACTCTGGCATAAGTGTTATTCAGCTGTTTTAATGTTAGGTCAATTGCAGCAACTGCATGACAGATGATTAGTTGGCAGAAAACTTCTGAATGACAGTTTTGGATCTTTCTATGTGATGATCTGGAAATCTGCATGATATTCCTGATATTCTCATATACGTATTTCAGAAATATTTTGGATGTATGTTGATTGCTCTTTACTGTGTCTCTTTGCTTCCAAGAACTTCCAAAAGCTGCAGTCAATGAAGTTCATTAACATGGAAAGCTTTCCTGCAACTCTTTTGGGGGAGTGGAATGACTTTTTGAAATATAATGGTGGAGCAACTTGGAAAGCACTGAGAGAGAACATGAGTGGTTACTTTTCTGTATTAGAGTATGTGACTAGTAAAAAGAATTTCTGGCAGACAAAAAGTCCCAGTTTTTCCTGAGAACAAGCCTGAATATGGCTATACCAAGGATGCTGGTAAGGAAGGAGGAAATGCTATGGTGTTTGGAGGTGGCCAGCATTAGTGCTCAGTATGTAAAAAAGCAGCTGACCCTTCTATTAGTCTCCAAAAAGGATTCATGCAGTGTTTCTGCCCTGGAGATATGCAGAAAAGACATTGATAAAGAGACTCTTGAGAATACAGAAGTCTGGAATAGAGGAACTCGTGAGACATCATGCAGTAGTTTCTGTGTGAATCCACTCAAACCCTTAGAAGTGTAACAGAATTTTCTTTTACTATGCTTGCCGTCAAAAGACACATCTTAGCATCAAAATGTCTCTCCCTGCTTTTGAGGTTCTCCTAAAATTGACTAAGTCAAGTGGCACTATCCACTCAGAGTTTACAACTTTGTCCTTGCACAAATGTAATATTCCCTGGGAACAAATCTTTGAATGGTATGAAAGGGGATGACTAGTCCTGACTAGGCACTAAAATTCCAGTCCAGGCTACAGGATTTTCTGCAAAACAAATGAAAATGCTACAAGCTTGCACAGACAGTTAGTTCTTAGCCAGAGAAAGAATATACATCATTTGCTTTGGGCTTTTGCTTGTTCTTTCTGCCTTTGAGAGAACCTCAAAAACAGTGGTTTTGAGTATGAGAGAGAAAACAGACAAGTCAGAACCTGCCTATTTGTATGATATTTTTTGTTCCATGAAACTTGCAAGAAATTGTATTGCTCTGCAGCTAAACTGACCCATCACAGTACTGTAATTTTCCAAATAATTCTATTACTACTGTCTCAGTGCTGCTGGCAGCATTTGTCTTTCTGAACAGAAAATTTGGTGATGGGGTTCTGTATGCTTGTGTGTATGTCTGCTTTGAACTGACTAAATATGCACATGTGGTATGCACATAGTAATGGTCTGAAGTGGCTTAAAAAAGTTAATCTGTGGGAAATACCCAGTTCTTTTAAATGTTTCCCTAATTTAAAACTAGAAAGAGTGCATGGAATAAGTATAATCCTTTGGTGCAGATGAAATTTTAAAGTATGTCCAGTGTGTTTGTATTAATTGTTCCTGGAGACCAAGTTACATTTTTGGAGGGAACCATTGTTGTAGAATTCCTGAGAATATTCTAGTTTGTAACTGTAGAGCTGATGATTTTAAAATTTTAATTGTTACAATTTTTTTCTTTGTTTTGTGTCTGTTAGAAAGATAGGTATTAATAGATTGGTAATGATTGCACTTGAATTAGGAGATGGATTACTACACTAAGGCTTTTTAATTATCACCACAGCAATACTTTAAACCATTTTTCAAGCAGTAGACTGTAGTGTAAGTGTTGGCATCACTGTTACATATTTACCTGGTGATCAGTGACACTGACTTTAGACAGATTAGCTCAGAGCTATTTTTACAGAGCTCTAAATAAATAAATACATTTTCATTAGGACTGTCCATGGATTTAATTGTGGGTTTTCTCTTTTGGAGAGAATGGAGCTGAAATTGGTCTCAGAAGTGGCACAGCAGGATTTTGCAGCTCTTTGGCTCTGATTGAACCAATATGGCACTCCTTGGATTGCAACAATAAACCATAAAAAGGAAGCTGGCAATAAAATTTCAGACTTGCTTTGATTTTCTCTCTCCATATTTTCCTAGCATTGTTTTGGAAAGACACAGTGCTTTTGGTGGCATCATATAGTTCTAGTATTGTGATTTAAGTAAGTATTTGACATGTTAATTAACTAAACACTACACTAGAAGTGCACCATGACTTATGAGTCATCTCTGAGAAATACTTAATCATGAAAATTTTAACAGGATATAATTTATTTTTTTTCCTACACGCTTTGTAAAAAATAACTGTGGTGTTATTGGTAAAAAATAACTATGGGGCTTCGTGGAAAAATCAATCTGTACCTTGCATTTTGCTTTTAAGAGGGATAAGAAAAGATACCCAAGTCCTAAAGAACAGAAAAAATAATTATTTATTTAAAAATTATATATTTATTTATTAATTAATAATTATTTATTTTATTTATGATATAACTGCTGATTCTCTTGCATGAGATACTTTTTAGGGGGTGTTTTTGCATCTGAAAATAAAGGTTAGGGTTTAGATATGAGGCATTAGAATCTAGACACTAGCTTCCAAATTTGGGAGATTTAGATTTTTGGAATGCAGATTATAAACTCCTGTTATTAACCTGAAATTCTTGGTGACTATGGTATCTCTCCCTTTTGCTTTCCATAGAATTTTGAGGTGTAGTCTTACACTCTTTGCATATCTAAGCTGTCATTGCTCTTCTTTACATTTTTTAAATACATTTTGATATTTGCCTTGAAGGCTGCATTTTCAGATGGGAGTTAGAATACATGTCAGGCTCCACATTCAGCAAACTTCTGGGGAGAGCAGATTCTACACACGAAATAGTTCTGCTGAATTAAGAAGCAAAAGTCCTGCATGTTTACTTCATCAAAGAAGCAAAAATTTTGAATGAGTTGTTATTTTTAATTGTTGTTGGGGCGTTATTTTTATGTTGTTTTTTTTCCCCTTTGGATAGGAAATGACCAGATACAATCAAAGCCTTGCAACAGCTAACCTCCTGTGTATGATTGCTGTTATGGCAATAACTGTCCTTTGTAACAATAAACTATTTCTTTCAGGGAGCCTTTTTGCGACTTAAGCAATCCTGCGAGAAATTAAGTGTTTCTCCTGGCTGAGGGAGGGTGCCAGGTCCAAGCACTTCACCAACAGCCTTTGGAAACTTTTAAAAAGCCTTTTCCACACTTGAACATGTGTGGAAAAAGAGTTTGTGAGTTTCCCATCACAGTCACATACTTCCTGAAAAAGCCATGAAAAGTTTATGTGTGAGCTTAAGCTCCAGGTATGAAAACGAGCACCAAGTTTTGATTGGTAATTCGTCCTAGGTCACAAATCATATGGTGCTACAAAAAGATAATTTTTTCTTAGGGTTTGGTAGATTAATTACTGGTATAAAGTGTTCTCTAATGTGGCTTTGCCAAATTAAAAGTTAGCATTCCTACCTTTTCAATGAATTCATAAAACTTATTTCAAACCCTCATTTTCCTCACTCATGCAAAATATTTAAGTATAACTCTTTAGATGTTATGGGACAGAACACTAAGTGCAGATGCATTGATTTTAGTATATTAGAATCGGTAATTGTTGTCATGATCTTCATGTGTGTTTGGGAATAAACTAAAATTTCAGGCTTACAAAAGGAAGACCACATTTTGAACAATGAAGCTGTTTTCTCCATTCTCTATTGCTTCTGTTGCCCTTAAGATATTGGGGTGAAGAAATAAAGTAAATTCCATCAGCTAAAAATAACAAAGATAACAGAAACACATAAATCAAGTATAAATAATAGCATCAAAAGTGAAGTGAGGATTTAAAACAATAGTTTGTCTCTAATAGCAGGAGGGAATAAAAACAAAGCAATGAAATGTCCTTTAATGGTTTTGAATTATTATTACTCTCATCCAAGCCAGATGATTTTTAAATACTGGAAAATTTTCATGTTTTTTTAGAATCACACCAATATATGTGTATGTAAATTGAAGTAAATTAGAATGAATGGTTCAGGTTTTAGAGACTGTCATACTAGGCTGTAACAAAATAATTATTTGATCAATTAACAAATTGAGGTGCAAATGATTGAAAATTGTTGGTAGGCTTAATCCTAATGTGATTTGCAGTATTACAGTGGTTAAAGACAGTTTAACCTTTGTTTGCTTGTTTGTTTCATTCAGGTTTACAATAATATATGTGTTTGTGTGTATTTCTCATTTATGTTCCGAGAAATACAGTTAAGTTAAAAAGCCTCATGAACTTCAAAATATAGGGCTCTTTTAATGAAAAATTTTATGCTTTACAAGACTTTAAAGTTTCATATATAAAGTATTTGTAACACTGAAGTCTTTAAGTTGTACTTAGTAAAGCATTAATTGGCATATCCTAATTGAGTGGTTACAAATGTGTTGCTGTGACACTCAAAGCGTTTATATGCTGGGAGTGAACCTGGGTTGTTGTGGTTTGACTTTTTTCTTTTGCTTTTTTTTAAACTCATTTTCCAGTGGACTGAATATATTAGTGATGAATGTGCTGTGAAACTAACTGTTTGTTTCCATGCTGGAAAAGTTTCATGGCTCCAGCAATTGCTAGCCATTTTACCACACAGCATCCATCATTTTGTCAAAGTTTTAATGTTTTGTAGTGAACCACCTAGGAAAAAAAGGAGGAGAAAAGAATGACAAAACAGCCCAATTCTTTCATTCCATGCCAAAAAACTGACTGAAGTTTATCCCTGTTTGCCCTTGGAACAATTAATGTGACGTTTTCCTGAGTGCCGTACTAAATTTGATTGTCAGTTATTGAAATGTATGTTTAAATCAGCAGTGATGCAACTCTAAATGTTTTTTTCATTAATGTCTTTGAATCCTTAACCCACTACCTTTGACACATAACAGAATTAGAAAGCCTTTTGGACCATTTGGCTGAAGTTGTGCCCTCACTACAGTATCTCAGTTTGCTTGGAAACATTGCTTGCCCAAATGAACTGGTCTGCAAAGAAAAGGATGAAGATGACTACCAGAGATACAGGTTAGTGTTTTCACTTGTAAATGTGATAAGGCATGAAAGTCGTGTTTTACTGCTGGAAAAATACTAAACTAAAATCAACCCAGAGTCTCAAAGAAACATCTACTCTGTTCTGAAAGCAGTGTAACGTTCTGCCATGAAACACCTGGGAATCTGAGCAGCCCCATTTTGGTGAGATCACCCTCAGGAAGTCTGTTTCAAGAAACATTTCAGTGCTGTATAGCACATGTCTGAGCTGAGCAGGTGTGCACAGGATTTCCTGCATGTGACTATTCATACACCCCCACTCAAGGCATTTCCTTCTTTAAGGCCAAGATAAGGCAAGGTCTACGTACACTAAGGGTGACAGGCAATAAAAAAAAGAAAGAAAAAGTCACTCCACTGAGATAGCCAGTTGCCATCTCTTCTCTTCTCTTCTCTTCTCTTCTCTTCTTCTTCTTCTTCTTCTTCTTCTTCTTCTTCTTCTTCTTCTTCTTCTTCTTCTTCTTCTTCTTCTTCTTCTTCTTCTTCTTCTTCTTCTTCTTCTTCTCTTCATGTTTGATATGGTGCTAAGTTGCTTCTACTGTAATTATCAAGGCACAATTAACACAGAATAAATGACTCCTCTTATATTTTGGTGCTTTACTCAGAGCAGTACATTCTAAAAAAAAAAAACCCAGTCTTTATAATGTAATGTCAATCAGCTAGATTACACAAGAGGTCATCTGAAATTTAATATAGAGGCTTGATAAAATATTATAAGTCCAACTGAAATGTTGCTAAAAGTGGCAAGGATTATCAAAAAAACCCCAAAAACAGAAAGAGTTGTGACTGATGATGATTATGAGTATAGATCCACAACTTTTCCCCAACTTATGGAATGTCTGCTAACTGACATAATTTTCAGAGCTATAACCTTAAGAGAGGTGAGACATTGATTATACAGGAAAAAAAAAAAGACATGAGATGTATTTTTCCTTGCTGCCATCTGATGCATTATTTCAGTCCTTGTGTGCTGGCACGTTTCCCATTGGCTGCAAATGGCGTTTGGAGGCACGGCAGAGCCAGGCAGTGCTGGTCACCTTGCCTTGCAGAGCCTGAGCTGGCTTTTTATTAGGATCACCCACACTACTGGGAGTTATAGAATAAACCCTGATCTTATCTTCAGGTAGCCCAAACTGTGCTGCAGGAGTTAGGATAAAACAACACAAAGTAGAGGAGACTAAAAATAGGTTTATGGGGAATTTATAGGCTTGAATTCGATGCATTCAGAAATGGTGTAGGTTAAACAGCAGCACAGCTGTCCCAGATGTGCACATATACTTTTTAGTTTGTTTCAGATTTTTGAGAAGGATTTCTAGGTTGTCAGACTGTCACCTTTTAATGATTTGAATCCAGCTTAGCTTGTAGCATTTTGGTTTTCATGGAGTAGAGCAGCCTAGGTTTAATAAAACATCTCCCATTGCTTTCACACTTAAGTGGGAGGTATGCCTACTATCCAGCTTACAAGACTATAATAGTGCTGTCTCTATGTAAATTTATGTGACATGTGCTCTAGAAAATTGCTTAAAAAATGAATGATATTTCTACAGTTTACTGTTTTTCACTTTAAGTATGTTTTCTGACAATATGTCTCCTATTAATCATTTAAGCAAAAGTAGTATGTTAAAGGAGCCATTCAGAGGCAAGAACCCGTGGTTCATTTAGTGCTCTCTGAAAAAATTCCTTATTGATTGACATCCTCTGTGCTTATGTGATGTAATATTTATAATATGTCACAGAGCCATACATCAAAACAAGCCTGTCCCTTGTTGCATTTCAGTGCAAAAATGTTGATTTCGGAGGAGAGGTCAAGGTAGTTTTAGGTCACATCATGGCAAACCACTATGTCAAAGTGTGAAAGGAGTCTATTTATATATCTGCTGGAAACTGCAACATTGCTTCCATTTTCTTTCCTCTCAATTTTTCAAAACCCTGGGTGTTTTTTTCCATATAAACTAGGTTAATTTAAACACTTTTAAGAAAGAAGAATGGGCTTCTAATTAGTTGAATGATTTATGGTTCTGCTGCTATCATGAAAGCTTCTTGATCCTTTTCCATTATTATTTGTTGCATTATAGGAAATGTATTTGCTAGACAGCATTAGAGTCAAAACCCAAAACCATGGGTCGATCAATTGATCTATCTGCCTATCTTTAGGAAAATATATATCACCTACATGATGGAACTGATTAGAACTGCTCTTCTAATTTTACTCTGAGTAGCTAATTCAGAGTTTTGAATACACATTGTGAGCACAACTTTTGTCCTCCAGTTTCAGCATTTTTTAATGGTTTGAAATAACTTTTTTTCCTTAAAAAAATTCCTTTCCTTTAATTTTGCTAAATTTATCAGAAAGCATCAAAAGATTACATTTATGTGACCTTGAATTATGTAAAAACTTGAATTATGTAAACATTGTGCTTCACCATAACTTCAACTGGCTTTGTTTTGTTCTGAATGGGAACTTATTTTTTTGCAAACTTTTGCAGTGACCATTGGAAACCACAGCTTCATTTTTCATTGAACTTTAATTTTGTTCCTACTGAGTTCAATTAGAGTTCAGGCTACTTAATTCCTCAACCAGAAAGAGAAAAGTGCTAGAAATCAAAGCTTTACTTAATCTTCTCATTCCAACAAACTGAAAAGATCTGTAAACTCCCCAAAATCTTCATATTAAAAGTATGAAAAATAATGTTAAAAAAATTCAAAGTATAGTGATTCACACTGATCTTAAAAACAGAGGTTAAAAGCAATATTACTTACTTTAAAAATAATTAGGTTTTATCAAAAATACTTGGAAAATAAACAAAACTATGCTTTTGGTTAAGAAATTATCATCTGCTTCTTCAGATTATCCATTGGTATACCATTTCTATCATTTCATTACTAAAGCTCTTTCCTAGTCTTTCATTAAAAGTACATTTTTATACTGAAACATTATTGTGTTCTTTTTTTTTTCTCAAAATAGTTATTTTTTGTCTAAGAACCACAGTAACTTGTCAATGGGATATTTTTAGGGAAGAATAAAAGCTTTTCTTTGCCATCCCTGCTATTTCTTCTTACATTTCAAATGTGTAGGAGAACAAACTGATGAATAAAAAAAAATTCCTGTGTTATTGGAATTTTTGCTTGGACAGAAAAAGAAAATTGGAAGTTCCCTTCTGCGATATTTTTATAGGCAAACTTGTTTGATTCATTTTAAAGACTCATGAGATTTTCCCATCATTATTAAAATGGCTTTATTTTCTTACTATTAAAAAAAAAAATCATTCTCTTTTAAGCTTTCTATGTTTGGGTGTTAATATTTTGTAAAGGTACATCTTGGTGGTGAGGGCAAGGGAAAGCAGAATATCTAATATGTAATGGTGATAGGAAAATTTAGAAGCTTTTGGCTCCAACAGGAAGCAAGAAACACAGAAAAATAGCTTGCAAAACAGTGTCCTCTAAAATAACCTAGTCTCCAATCTCTGCTTTGAAGATTGCGTGAATGCAAAGGTCATGACCCAGAGATCAAAGTAACAGAAGTCAACACAGTAATTGCTGGTTGCTTCTGTTGTACTCACAGTTGGTCAGTCCTGTGGGTGTATTGTTTGCAGTGAAAACTTCAAACGTGGTGTTAGTGAACTGTGAAAAATCATCTGGGTCACAATGTATTACAAAGCATTTGTGAATGCTGCAGGTGACCTCACCTATTTTCATTAAAGCGATATGATTGTGGAGAATTCATGCCATGTGTGAAGTTTTCAGTGCTTGTTCATTCTTCTTTGCTCCTTATTGACATTTCCTGGAATGATGCATTCATTAAATGCTGTTGACATGGAAACAAGGGCAAGTGGAAACAAATGCCTGAGTTTATTTTAAAGTAGCTTAAAAGTACATGTCCTAGATATGCTATCTTTGGCTGGGGGAGCAAATGATGATAACCTTATGAAGTCCTTTTAAGATGTAACAGCAAGAAGGGAAGTGCATGTGTATTGTATGAATTAACTTTTCAAGCTAAATCAGCTGTTCCCATTCCACAGCTTTGTCTGTGAGAACTCACAGGTCTTCTAGCATTTTCAGCATTCTTGCAGTTTTTGTTTGTTTTATTGTTGTTTTGTTTTATTTATTTTATTAAAAAATTGCTACAGAATTTGGCTGTCTATTTTAAGTAGTCTTGTATTTGGATGGTGATATAGATATCTATGTTCAATAAGCAGTAGGAGACTAGAAGTTCTCACTCAGTAATAAAAATAATGCTAATATACATGATGAGTACCAGTGAAGTTAGTGTTGAGGCTCTCTTTCAGCAGGAAGAGTTGAAGTCTTTACTTCTCTATATGTTCTTTATGTACTTAATTAGATGATTAGGGTATTCCCTGACATCTGTATAGTCTATGAGTCTGTGCTGCTTCAGTGTTTGAGTGGAGCCTTGTCATCTCACCAGCACGTGGAAAAGTTTGTGCTTGAAAGACATCAAATGGCCACACAAGGTCCATCTGAGACTTGCCACTGGAAGGGTTCATGAGCAGGAACAATGACCATGTGTTTGTTCAGACAACTAAATTGAAGTCCATAATACCCAACTTGTCTGTACTAACACAGGAAATCAAGGCAAAACTAAAGCTACTGTTATACATATAAGGAAAGATTTTTCTAGTTCATAGAGTTGTTTACTACTCTAAGGAAGAGCAGAGTGTGTTAAAATACTTGGAGGTGGTGTGGATTTCTGTGTGACTTGCAAGCCCCTTAGAGTTATGTGGTCCTCACCAAACAGTGCCAAGGCTGCTCAGGGTCTTATGTGACCCTGTGACCTACCTCATGCCAACATCCTGCCCTCTCTTCTGGAAGATGCTGGTTTAAGTTTATGGCTCCTCCTCCTTATCTGGGTATTTAACAAATGTTTTTGTTGCAGAGGAAATTATATAGCCATATATAGGCTGTTTGGGGGTAGAAGGGTAAGTTTTTTGGGGGTGCAGAAGAAACAATAACAGAACGTAATTTAGTTCACTGTCATAAACACATTTGTTCAATTCTTCTGATTTCATTTTTTTTTTGTCTTTCCCCATTAAAATGCTGACTTAAATAAGCCAACTTCAGGTTATTTATTTTTTCTAATTTACAGTAATGTAACTGAGAGCATAATCAGCCATTCAAAGTTTGAAATAGGCATATTATTTTTATGCTCTATGATTGTTAAGGAAAGGAAATATAATAGCCCAGAAAATAGAAAAATGAAAGTGAACACTTTCTGAAACAAAGAGCAAGTTGCAGGTATGATACAAGTAGAGCTGGATATTCCTGCATACTTGCAAGCAAACTTTTCACGATTTTTCACAGCATGTATATTTTTTATTTTTAACTTAAATATTGATGCACGTAGTACAGTTTTATATTCCAGTTTTTGTTAATTATAGTACAAACTGGAATACTATACAGAATATAGTTCTTAGAATTGTCTTTCATTAAAGGTTCAGTGGAAGATTTTGCAAATGGGCCTCTTTTCCAATACCCTGGTAGTTCTGTGTGAAAAGTCTTAAAATGGAGCTTACTGCATGCAGCACATACAAAATTGGTAAATGAACTGTTAATCTTTATTTTCATTTTTACTAACTAAGATGGAAATAATATAAAATTTCATATTCTGTGGTCTTTTCCCATATCTGAGTGGTCCTGTTGATATGATGAATACTTGTTATGACTTTGTTTTCATGGGACTCTTGGCACCCATGCCAAGAGCCAAGGTGGGGGAGATGATTCTGAACAAAAGAAGGTTGTTTCCACTTAAATAAATAATTTCTTTAATCCATTGTGAATTAGATGATCAGTTTGCAAGCAATGATAGGTGGATCTGTAAGCACCTTCCTGGTGTGTCTAATTTTTACTTTTCTCTCTTTGAATCTCACTTTTATCCTCGTCACTGAAGATAATAACCTTCTGTCACACCACAACAAAGGTGTTAGAACCCAGTAACAGCAGTTTCAGAACACATGGAACACTGCTAAGTTTTAAAATTATTAAGAAATAAAAGGGGGGAGGGGAAATAGGGACACCCTGCCCCCCAATTTCTAACCTAGATAAAATTTTCTAAACTCAGTGTAGAATCTAGATGGATCGTTCTTCATTAACCAGTGTGCTTTTAACTAGTGATTTTACAAGTCTAAAACAGGTGCAATGTGTCATGCAATTTATGGGTCCCAGTGCCTGCCATAAAGTATTTTATGATGGCTGTGTTCTGTTATTAGTAGCTGTCTTTTTCTGCAGCCATTGGTGTTTGATAATAGTCTTAAAACACCCAAAATTACTTACCTGCAAGCAACATTCCATAGTCCCTGTTGACAGTTTGAATAAGTTTAGTGCCCTTTTGTTGTACTTTACCTTCAAAACAAACTGATTGAACCATCAATAGCTCCTGAAAGCTGACAGAGGCATGTCATCTGGTCTAACCCTCTGATAGTAGGTTATCTGTGGGAGTTAACCTCCCTGCATTGTTAACCGAAATGTTTTATGTACTAGGCAACTTTAGGATACTGCTGTGATAACCTTAGTAACTAAGTCATACATCACAGTAAAGAGATTTTGTGCAACAAATAACCCTGGATTAAATTTACAAGGGTTGAATTGATATTGTAGATTGTTCATTCCCAGGCTTTGGTAATCCTTTCCTGTATTTTTTATGGCAAACTTGCGTTACATTTAGATTGAAGCTGCATCTTCATGTTTCTAGCTAAAATGTATCCAGGAAGCTTGCTGGGTTTTTTTCAGCCATTTAATATGAATGTATTGCATTATTTTCAAATAGCATAGACACTTTTTTTCCCACATTTAGTAAAAAGAATATGAATAAATGAGATTGCATTTTGAATCACCTTTTAAAATAATGAATTGCACATATACCTTCTTTCTACCAGAGGGATAATATTTATGGTACCTACTTTTTAGTATTTGCTTTGCTTAAGGAGTGCAAGTTTGAAAAAAAGAACCAACCCCACTGACTTGTGGAGCAGTTTGCTGTTTAATTTGTGTGGGTAGGGTTTTTTGGTTTTGTTTCTGGAATTGACAAGTACTAGTGCTAATTCTGTTTTTTGAAATGCAGTCAGGATGGCTTAAAAATACAAAAATACATTTGTATCAAGGAATGCTATTATAATTTTAAGCTCTTTTGAAATGATTGAGAGACTGACATTAGGGCTGTGATCCAAAGTCAGCATAGATGACAGTGCTGTCTTATTCTGTTGTCATTTTTGTTGCAGCCTGCTTTTCAATGGCATATTTCATTCCATCATTAAACATTTGCTGATTTTCTAATACCGATGTTTTCTTCACCTGAATATTCATCTTTTCTCACCCTACACTTAGTGGGTGTCTTTACTCATTTTTAGCTTCACTCTTCTTCACTCTTGACATATTGTTTCCTTCTGTACATGTCTTCATTTGAAAGAATCTGTTGTCATCAGAGCTTTTCTGCCAGTAATGCAAGATGGATAGCTTCTCCTCCAGTGAAAGATAAGGCCCAGCAAAATGCCAGGGAGGACTGGAAGGGCGGCCAGGAAAGCTGGAATGAGTCTGAGAACGTGTCTGTCTCATAGGTCTGTAGCTGCTGTTTAAAAAAATGGTCTTAGGAGATGTTCTGTTTTGTGAAGTGACTCTCTTTCTTCTACTGATATAATTCAGAGCCATAGATTGAGAATTCACATTTAAATTGTCTGAGCATTTCGGAACTGAGTATTGTCACTTCAGTTAACAATTTATGGAAGTGTTGCTTCAGAGGAATGGTGTACTTGATGGAAAGCTTTATTTGCACCATTAGATTTTGCTTGGTTTTAGAAGGGGGAGCGTTACAGTAATTTTTACATGTTTATCTGGTTTAGACAGCAGTATAATAAAATAAACTTACCTTTTGAAACCTTTTTTTTTCCCTGTTTTTATTTTTTTTTCCCCAAAACATTATGCAGTTTTCTATTTCTTTAATTTCTTCCTCCCAGTACCAGAAGGGATGGGTATGATGAGGAGCTCTCTGACTGACTTGGGGTTTATGCAAAGCAGCTTGGCTGGGGAACACTATCATCACCTTTGTACCCTCTGCCAGGAAAAGCCTGATATTGCCTTCACTCTGCTTCACATTTGGTTGACTAAATGTGTACTTGAGGTGGTTAGATATTGGATTTGCTGTGTTTGTGCCTTGCTTTGGTTTTACTCTGCCATGTTCTCTCCCTCTACAGGTCAGAAGCCAACAGTGTTTTTCTGAGGCTAGAAAGCTGCTATCCTTCAAGTAGAAACAATAAATAGAATATAATACTGATGAATCCTAATAAGAACTTGGAATTCTTATATTTCCCATAAATAGTCTCTCCCTGTGTGCTTCTGCCCTTAATCCTGAGCTGGGATCTGTATGCCATAAGAACACCTTGTCCCTCTGGCAGGACCAAATTGGAATTCTCCTTCCAAATGCTGATCATTGTGATTTTAGGAAAATAAAATAAAAAATCCGAAGAAGTGTTGGCAAATGGTAAGAATTCTTGCAGAGAAGTTGGCTGGCAATTTCCCATATCTCAGATTGATTTTCTCCCTCTGTGTGGGCTGGAATCTTTGGTATCACTCAAAATTCCTTTTCCCAAACAGGCAATGCAAAACAATTTCCAAGTTATTCTGTTCCTTAGTATGCTTTATACCTCACTGATATACAGAGTGAACATACATGTCCATGGTGATAATTGTGGTTGATCCACAGTATTAAATGGTTTTGGCTTCATTTGAGAGAATAAAGTAAGTATTATAACTTTGTACATAAGATACATTGCATGAAAAAGGTGAATACAGAGAGAAGACACAGGCTGTTAATTTTGCCTGTTATTTTTTTAGTCATTGAGTCTGTGAGTATGTCTTTGTGTATTACTGGATTTTTACTGTGTGTATTTTGATATCTGTCAGATATTTTGTCCTGCACAAATTGACAAACCTGAAATTTCTCGATACTCGGAAAGTAACCAGGAGGGAGAGAGAGGAAGCCCTGATAAGAGGCGCCTTCATGAAAGTGGTTAAGCCCAAGGATGCTAAGGTAGGAGAGTAAATGTAAGTGGTAACAATAATATGGGTTTTTTTAACACTATTTTTAAATAACTCCAAGAGCCTGGCTGCATCTTTTGCTAAGGTAAAAAAAGAGGTAAAATCTTTTAAATTAAAGGACCGATAAATGTGGTCAGATGGGGGACAAAAGCCTTAGTAATTTTTTTCTGTGTTTTAATGTAGAAACTTACAGGTACATGTCTAATGGGCTGTTGCCATGTGATCAAATTTCTGGTTTCAACCTCTGTTTCACATAGTAAAGTAGCTAATATGTGTCACTGAGCTTAAAAGAATATTTTTACTCTGTCCAAGGAAATGTAACAACTGTATGATATACTTTTGTGAAAGAATGCAATTTTTTCTGACAAGTTGTCCCCTGCCTTGTGTGTTAAACCCAAACTTCTATTGCAGATCTTGCAATTATGGTGCTTATTGGCTTTCAGTGAAACAGTTGATTCTAATTTTGTATGATGTTACTTAATGTGGTGTCCTGCTAATAAGCATTGACAGCACCAGAGAGACAGTTTCAGTAATCTGAGCATTTAATACAGCTTACATCAACTCTGGGCATCTTGCTGAAGCAATCAGAATGCGAATGTGAATTCTCCCCTTTTCCTTCTTTTTCCCTTGTTGATCAATACTTGATAACAGCAGTCTGTGGTGTGCTCGGAGTGCTTTAGCACTGCAGATCTTTCTTAAAACTCTGCTCAAGTTTTCAGTCTACTTGCTTTCTGTTTGCTGCTTTTTCTCTAAAGTATACCATCAATAATTTATTGCAGATTTCCAATAATGCTGAATAATAATGTAGTGGTTATGGAAATGCACTGTTTGGTAGCATAACAGTGTTGCTGGATAAATGCATTATCATGAGTACAATTGCAGTGCATTACAAATTAATTCAGACTGATTAATTTATAACTACTAAAATGTTAGCAGTTCTGATACAAACATTGCTTTGATATATTGTTTACCACTGCCTTTAGTTATTTCAGCTTCATGTATGAAATTAATGGAATAATTTATTTTTAAGCTGTGGTGCAGATCCTATTCACAGCAAACCATCTTTGAATCTGGCCAAATGCAACAGCTGAATTGTCTTAGGTAGAGCTTATCTATGTAATCTTTCACAATTCTAATCAGATTTTGGATCTGGTGAAGTTTTCTTTTTAAATTTATCTACCAGTTATAGGTATCTGTAGATATATATAAAGAGATCTCTTATTTAAGAGTTTACTCTGTGAATTGCATGCAACTTAAAAATAGTGTCAGAAAAAAACCGCGTCTCTCAAATTTAAAGTTACTTTTCAGGATTAAGCCTCTTTTTAAGTCAATAGCTAAGGGTAAATTACTTAACAAATTTAGGGATAACATCTTTATCTTTTAGATCTACAACTGAACCTTTTGTATAGTTTTGAATTATTTACCCATGAAGTCATATGATAAAGCATACATTTATTTCAGAAAATTTGCAGAAGACTCCAATTTACTGTTGTTTTTGCTATACTAAAGAGTTTCTTTATAAATGGCTCAGTACAAATTACTGATGGCAAAATCATTTTAAATTATTTTTATGGCATGAATTAATGCTTCTTAAGGTGTTATGAAATTACTCCCATCATATGAAATTATATACATATCACAGAAGTGGCTAATTTAAAATAAATATTAAATTTGATGCAGGTATTATAAAGCACTCCAAATAGTTTCAGATTTGTTCTTATTTCCTAGGATATTCATGTTTATAGTACTACATGCATGCAAACTCTTTCTATGTCTGAGAAGACTCATAGAATTTTCTCTGCATATACGCTGTGAGTTGCAGCTAGGTATGAGTACAGCTGTTGACAGCTCCACTTGAACACCACAGCAAGCAGCATTCCTCCAGAAATCACCAAGATGATGTGCACAGTAACTGTACTTTTGAATTCTGTCATGTGTTATACATTGCATACATAATGGGTTTTTATTCTCTAGCCTTCACATTTCCTGGATCTTGTGTTTTCTGTTCATCAGTTCCACTCCCACGTAGCTGTCGATATTTTTGACCAGCTTCAGCCAGATTTAACAGGCAGGTACTGGTAATATATTTTAAGCTTTCTGCAGCTAGTTAGAGATTAACACCTTGATCCAAACTCCTAGGAAGATTGCAGCATATCCAGTACTGGTCATCAGAAAAACTCCTTAATAAGTTGGCATAGCGATATATGACCTTACTGATAATGAACTTCCGAATAACATGGGTTTCTTTCCCTCTCACCTAAGGTAGCAGGCACTGTGTCAGCCAATGCTACCAGGAAAGGAGATGCTGTGATTAGTGTTTATGTTGGTGGATGCCACATGAAAATCTTCTGCCAGATTTAGTAACAGCAGTGGGCCTTTCAGACCTGTTTTTTCAGAGAAAAAAACAAAACCAAACCACTGAAAACAACAAACCAACAAAAAAAGTCCTAACTTACGTGGTGTCTTTTTTCCCCCATTATGATAAGAAGGTGATGGTGTGGCTTATTCAGCATAAAAGGCAGACTGATGATCTAAAGAGGCTGTGATGTGGGGAGTTGTTTTCATTTTAGTCTTGACATGAAATACTTGGGAGAGCAAAATACCCCACCAAGAAAAAAATACACAAAATGAGACTAAAAGCAAGAAATTTCCATCTGACTAGCTTGTGTTTACTCAAATGCGAGAGTATCTAGCAATCACTAGTCATCACTAAGTCATAAATATTTTATTTTGTATAAATTCTTTTTACTTTCATTATTCCCTATTTTTTTTAACAGAACACTACACTTGTGCTTTGCTTCATTTCATCCTTTGTTGAAAATGCATCTGTTTGTGATATGACTGTCTTATGGAAAGATACAATCATTTATTAGAAAACAGTTTAATGTTACAGTGCAGTATTCCTTCTCACTATGTAGGTGAGCTAAACTTCAGTATTCTGTTATGTTTGTGTTTTCTTTTGTCAAAATATTGAACATTGTATCATGCCTGCTTTTAATAAAGACTGGAGAAGTCTGGCTGGATAAGAGGCATTGAGCCAGATGAGGAAGCCTTGTTTAATGACCAGACCATGACCTCATTTCACTGGCATAAGTGTAGCTCAAAGTGGAAGATGCCTGTCCAGTGTGAAGTGTGTTTCTGGGCATGACAGCATTTCACATCAGAAAGACAGCTCAAGAATACGACAGTCAAAATTGCTTAATTGTGTCCCAGCTTTGTAATTATTCATCTGTGCTTCTACAAAGAGTACAGTTGTCATTTCTTGACATAATTATTTAAAACTGTACCCCTCTTTGGTTTATAGGTATATGAATTGTGCTTCCAACTGTTTCATTTTTCAAACTTAGAGATGCAAAGCAAATGTGATTTGAGAAAATGTGTTAAGACTACACATTTTTGCATTGCATATGATATGAATAAAATGAAATTATGGTGTATCAAAGTACATAATTCCATATTTTAAAGTCTGTATTCACGATCATTTAATCTAGATGATAAAATCTATTTAAGTGTGTTGCTATGAATAGATATATACTGTCATAAGTCTCTTTAAATATAAATTTAATTATACATATACATATATTTCCCAGTATTTCTCAGCCCCTCTTCCCCACAAATATATTTTGGCTTACTGCATTTTTAAGGTTAACACTTTCATCTGTTTTATTTACACTGGTGAAAGAAAGCAGAAGGAATTTGGTCACCAGTAGCAGTAGCTTATAGGGCCAAATCACTGGCAGATATACTTATACTTCCAAGTAACAAACTTAATATTAAATGTAGTTATTCTGCTTTCTTGCAGCTTTACCAAAAGCATCTTTTCCACTGGTTGTAAGGGAACTCTGTACAACTGAAAAAAAAAAGGCAGTATAGGTGTTCTGAATTTTTTCAATATTTTTTTCACTCTCAGATGCATTGTTTTCATCGTAAGTTATAATTATGAAACCTGACATGGCATTTGTTCTCTAAGGAACTAAGATGGAGACACTGAAGCAGAAAGGCAAGTCTAATACATTCCAAGTAATAAATGTCTGTGATTCATGCCCACAGTGTTGCTTGAAGGGTAGAAGGAGATTATTTTATTATGATAGGAAGAGTAAATATTTAGGCAGTACCATTTAAGGAATAAAGTGAGATTAAATCTACATTGTTGCTTTCAGATCATTCTTGTGTTTAAGCTCATAGGAAAAGCTCTTTATCAAAGTGACCGATGCTGATATGTGCTTCTATTAAAGTCAGATGAGGCATAAGGAATGATTTCAGTAATTTTTATCCCAAATTATTTAACAAAAATCATACTTTTCTTGAATAGGTATGTTCTACCTGATTCCATGAATATAGGCAAAACATTTTTGCCAGTGTATCTCATGGACCTTTCTATCCCCTCCCTAAATTAGGAAAATGCAGCTGGTTTTAAAAAGTAAATAAAAGCAGACAGATAGAACTTTGGAGAACAGCTGCATTGCTCACAATCTTTTTCATTTTACCATTGCCACTGTGTAGAGATCTTGGTTTATGAATTTAGAGCATTTGAATAACATGCAGAGTAAGGTCTTGTAAAGTAAAGAATCATTGTGTCAGTGAACTGCTAGCTCATAAGATACCTCATTGAGAGAGCTTCCACACAACAGGGTTTCTTGTCAGATGCCAAATTTTCACATACCAAAACAAGACAAGAATACAAACTTAAGACTCCAATCTAGACTGTAATGCAGTAAATAATATTTACTTTAAGGACATTGTAGCAGTCACGCAGCCATTTTACTCTTCAGAAAGTTTATGCATTTTAAGCAGAAGTCTGTAACATGTTTGCTTCATAACCTGCTGTAATTCCAGCTGTCAAAGAGGGAAGAACAGATATGTGTGGGTCATATGTGCATTAGGGTGGAGAGAAAGACTCTTCTTCAGTGCTGGTTCTTACTGATATTTCTTAAAAAAACATCCTCATATGTTCTTTGGGCTGCTAATATGTGGACTAAATTTCACTATCTT